GGCCCGGCCGACCCCCGAGCCCCCAGCCCGGCCCGGCCGGCCACGAGTCCCCGAGCCCCCGGCCCGGCCGACCGCCGGCTTCCAAGCCCCCGAGCTCCCGGCCCGGCCCCGCCGACCGCCGAGCCCCCGGCCCGGCCCCGCCGACCGCCGAGCCCCCGAGACGGCCGACCGCCGGCCCCCATGTCCCGATTTTCCCGGACATGTCCGGCTTTTTGGGATTTCCCCCCGGACGGGGATTTGGAGCCCAAAAAGCCGGACATGTCTGGGAAAATCCGGACGTATGGTAACCCTATAGTTTGCCCACCCCTGCTTTAAAACAATCTGCCAGATAAGAATGAACTTTCAGTCAAATGGGTTTCCTAGGAAATACTTGGGAGGAGGGGAATGCAAATTACCACAACTGGACCCAACCTTTCAAAGCTATGCCCTGAGGAGAAATCCATTGTCTGCTGATTACCTGTTTCCAGAGTCCCAAGGATACAGACCCAAACCATATAAAGGAGCGAATCACAGACTCATGAGGGTTCTGGTTCTGCCCTTGTAACTACAGGAAAACCAGTGTTGGGTTTGAGGGATGGACTCCTACCAGAGTCCGTGTTGGGGTGAACTCTGGTAAGCTTATTAGTATGCGTGTAGAGTGTTATTATTTTAAGAATAAATGTGCTTACTTAGTGCCCTCATGACTGTGGGCAATTACACATTTTATAGCCTCTGAAGAGAAAGCAAAACAGACCGCTTAGGGAGCCTGCATGCTGGGGAATAGTCAGAGAACAGTGCAGCTTGGAAAAACACGGGTCAGGAGGGAGGGAGAGACATGGGTCTCCGCCCAAGCAGAGGGTGACAACTAAGGAGTCAGGACTCTGAAAGTGGGTGCCCTTGCTGGACTATGAGGGAGAAATCACAGGTGCCGTTGCCCTGAACTGTTCAAGCAGCCAAGTTGCACAGCAGATGATAATGGAACAAACTTAGGCCTCTGGAAATCTGAGTTCAAGTAGTGAATGGGTCCCAAGTGAACACCAGTTAGATAGTTTCATCATCAACATCGCAAAAAAGCCTTCTCATTTGATATACGCTTGGCACCATGGGCAATGTCTTCTCAGATGAGGATGAGGGATCAGCACTCAGCATTTAAAACTGCCCAGATACATTCCTATAGTGATGAAAAGTTGCCAGAAAGGGTAAACACTCACGCTGCTGCGTAGCTTGTCCTTCTGACTTTGGTTTGGTGTGAGCAGGGATACAGGTCATAACTATCATTGCACTTATGAGACTTGCCACTACCGCAAGATACGACGGAAAGTATGTGCTGTGAAGAGAAAGAGCAATTAAGATATACATACAATGGACTCAATTAGAAACACTGTGATCATACAGGCACTTAAGCATGTGCCTAACTTTACTCATATGAATAACAGGAATAGTTCCAATGAAGTCATGGTGAGTAAGGCTATGCATGTGCTCAAGTGTTTTTGGGATTGAGGCCTTATATGAGTGTTCATGATCTGACCATTAATTCCTTCAAAGATGGATTTTACTGCAAACCATGTTACAGTAGTGTATTAACAACAGGCATTAACATGCGTCTGACGAAGTGGGTATTCACCCACGAAAGCTTATGCTCCAATACATCTGTTAGTCTTAAAGGTGCCACAGGACTCTGAGGCATTAACACAGTGCTTTTTTAATTTGTAAAGCTCAGAAAAAATTGCTTTCTTAGCAAAGCTGCTTAGAGATTCTCCAACGGAACAACTGAATTGTTAATTATGATCAACCCGTTCCCACAGTGGGCCAAATTCTGTCACCTTTATTAACACTGAGTAGTGCCTTATTCTGCAAGGAGCCCACCTGATTTCAGTGGGAATCCTCCAGGAGGAAAATCCTACTCAACAAGTGGCAGAATCTAGTCCAATGAGTACACAGAAGCTTAGACACTAGATATGCAAAACCACTAGATAGGATCCATGTAAGATGACAAACATAATTTTAAAAAAACCAAAACCCTCTTTTATCTTAGGGTAACCACTTTGTCACTCACTGACCAGAAACAGGTATACACTAGCACCTTTGATTGGTACCCTATCATCTCTTAAGATGCTCACAACCAAAAGGCTTCCAGTGAGTGAAATAAAGCAAAACTATTTCCCACCCAACCACCAATGATCCAAGTTATTGTTATTTTGAATCTGCCATATATTGCCAGGGCCAGAGCTCACCACCATGCAGCCGGGGAACAGAGCCTGAAGCCCCGTGGCTGGAGCTTGCCACCCACCACTCCAGAGCTGAAGCCTGACCTCACTGCCCCCGAGAAGGTGGGGAACTCATTGGCTGCCTGCTCCTCCAGCTTTTGTGTCTCCAGGTGGGGGAGGGGAGCCACAACCACTACTGGTGGCCCCAGGGGAGGGGCCGTTGCTTTGCCTCCCGCCCCCAATCATCACCCAGGAGGCTGTGGCCACAAGAAAAGCTCCTAGTGGCCGTACATGGCCACCGTGGCCTCACTTGACAAACGCTTTAGACAGCTTTCTGTGGCTGGGGAAGGATAGCGTTGATTATAATCATTTTGAACTCAACAATACTTGCTTAAGCTCCACTTAAGCTCTCAAAAGAGAAGATGAAGAGGTGACCTGAGATTGATCTTTAAGTAACTTCGTAGGGAGAAGATTTCTAATACTAGAGAGGGCTCCTTAATCTATCAGACAAAGGCATAATAAGTGACTGGAAACTGAATCTAGATAAATTCAGGTTAGAAAGAAGGTGCTAAATTTTTACAGTAAGAGTAATTAACCCCTGCAACAATTTGCCAAGGGACATGGTTGATTCTCCATGACTTGAAGTCTAAGTCAAAACTAGATGTCTTTCTAAAACATATGCTCTAACCCAATCACAAGATGTAGGCTTGATGTAAGAATTTCACCCAGTAATTCCAGGCCTGTGTCATACAGGTGGTCAGTGTCATTAGATGATCACCACAATCACTTCTGGCCTTAGAAACTAGGAAAACAGAGCTTAACTGATGCAATGGCATTGTGCTGGCCCTCTGAACAGGAGTGATTGTCACCCTAGATCACTTTTCAGGTTCTGTAATAGTCTACATAGACTTACACATGAATTGTACGAAATGAGACTCATCCATAGTAACTGGCCTATTCTGCAAACAGGCACCAAAAGGACATGTGGTAGCTGTAATTTGCAAAACATGCCTTTTTATGATGGTGTAGATAAGAGAGAGTGTTGATTGCCACCCTAATGCCTAGTTATTGCTGATGTCATGAGATATCAGTAATAACCATGAGCTCCCTCACAGAATAACAACGAGCCGTACTAATTGTATAAGTCTCAGGTCTCTTTCTAGACAGACAAAAGTGTGACCTGAATAATTCTGAGAGCTTGCAGTGTTATTATTAAAATTAAAATATGGGACAGTCAAGGATTCAAATGAATACATTGAGAACAACATCAAAGAACAAATTCTACATAGGCATTACTGTAGATAGCAACTGCACAAATAAAAGAAATCTTTTAGTTCACTATTTATTAATTATATCAGCCTTAATTAACATCTTCATGTAAACAGATATACCACAGAGAGTTACAACTGACTTTATGATGTCAACCAGTTCTCCAGGACCACAAAAATCAATCATCTGCTGTGTTAAGATTTTAGCAAGAGATTTTATAAGATCCTGTTTGCCAATATTCCATTTTCAAGTTCCAAACAAGATTCAAGGCAGGTACCAGTCAGTAAAAATGGAGGATTTCCCTCTGAAAACCAAGTAAACAAAGTAGTAAACCAACTCAAGCACCAAATCTACCACCAATTCTTTGCCATGATGATGGGGTGAAACGCCCCCCCAAAACAAAAACAAACCCCGAGAGATCTTACACACCAGCATCCCCCACCCCTCAAAAAGTGACTTGCCTTAAGCAAACGAGTAAACGGAATTGTACAAGGCCAAACTCAATGATTTCAGAGTACTGTAGCAAAAACTGAAAACTCATTCAGGAAAATATAAAGCTCAGGAGTAAGATTATCCAAAACTATCTAAGTCACTAAGATGCCTCTGAAAATATCACCCTCAAACCATAACTTCTTTTTGGTACTTTAATTTTTAATTTCCCAAGTATCTTTGCCCTTTACACCATTCTTGTTGATAGCTACATTATTTTTTCTCATGTGGAGGGGATGGATTCCATAACTGTAGCTAACATATTTCTTTAGCGCATTACAATGCACTTCACATTATTTTTCTTATATAAGGTAAGCTTTTTTTTAAAAAAGAGGAAGTGAGTTCAGTGCCCATGAAGATCGACAGATCAAGAGATTGAACTCTTTATGTAATGTAGTTATATTGATTTTAGTTAATAAATCAACAGATTTCTAAATTTTCAGAAAATTAATTTTATAAGCACTGTAATTTTGGGGAGGATAGGCTGCATTCTTCATACATAACATGAACTCAACACTGACTATGGAGCCATGACAGGTACCTCCAGCATTAGATATACTGAAAGAGATCAGCTTTGCAAGCTTCCCCTACCCACACCATTAATGCAACCCTGACCCAAAGGAACCTGGTGATGACTTCTAGAGGAGAAAGGAGCAGAGCAGTCTCAGAGCCCATTCGACCTTTGGCTTCTCCAATGAAGCCAACAACAGTGATGCTAGTTGTAGTGATTGGGCATTAGAAGCCAGGCTGCGATCCACAAACTCATTTCACATAAGTCACAAAACAGCCATCAGATAACTACCTACCGTTTTTACCAGTCTGGGTGGTCTTTAAACTGGTGACCCAGATATGAAAGACTTAGGAATTAGGTAACAAGATACTTAAGTGCCTAAATTTAAGCACTTAAATAAGTGGGCTAATTTTTTGACGTACTATGAATCTATTGATCTCATTGGGAACTGCAGCTGTTCCATACTTCTGAAAAGTTAGGCCCCTTATTTAGGGGCCTCAATAGGGATTTGGGTGCCTAAATCCACACATTTGAAAAAGTTGGGGATAGTTCCTTTCACCAGTGTTTTGTACCCTCAGAATCAGAGTTGACATTTCAGCTCCAAACAGCTTATTCTCTGGGGTTCTGATCCCGCTCTACAGAAGTCAATGGAAGTTTTGCCACTGACTTCAGTGTAGCTGGATCGGGTTATTTCAATTTACCTTGACTCTATTCCTATATGAAAACATTCCAATGAGCACACTGTAAATATGTGGGCTGATACAATAGATAGTTTAGACCAGGGATCAGCAAGATTTTTCAGAACTGGACCTCATTTTAACAGAGGGATTGTCTGCCAGGCCACTTCCCCTTCCATTCCATGATCGCACAGTCTATCTCTCCTTCCCATTCACAATCCAATAGCATGCCTGTGTCAACTTCTGCAATTGGTTTAATGGAAAAATGAGACCAGGAACATAATGTATTTATAGCTGTGTTTTGTTGCAATTTAATAACTGGAGATAAATTTGAGAACAGCACCATGTGACATGCCAGCGCTCCATGGACCATCCAGGGCCCATTTTGGGTACCTCTGGATCAAAAAGATAAACATGAGTGACAGCTCTTTGTGGCCAGAACGCTGGGTCTGCTCAGAACAACTATGAAAATAAGAAACAAAACACAAGGTAAAGTTCTGGCAGTAGCCTTAGATTTTTCCAGAATGAATTTTTCGGCTCGTGGGTAAATTCGGCACTTGGTGGATGTTCTGCATTTCAATCAAGCCTTTGACTTGGAAGGGAAACGGTCACAGGATGGCATTTGCTGTGTACTCAGGGAAGTAAATATTGACACCCTTCTCAGCTTCCCCAGCCACCTGGCACAGTTTTCATTCCCGTGAAAGGTTCCATTCTCTCTTAGGAGTGCAAGGGTAACGACTGCTATTTCATTGTGCTTGAAAATTTTGCGATGACTGGGGGGAGAGTTAACTGAGTGGTTTGAGCATTGGCCTGCTAAACCCAGGGTTGTGAGTTCAATCCTTGAGGGGGCCATTTAGGGAACTGGGGTAAAAATCTGTCTGGGGATTGGTCCTGCTTTGAGCAGGGGGTTGGACTAGATGACCTCCTGAGGTCCCTTCCAACCCTGATCTTCTAGGACTCTATGATTGCTCTGTGGATTATGTAAGTGAAGACTGGAGGCAGCAGAGCAGATTATGGAAATACCACTCTACCAAGACATACCTAACTATTTACACTGCTATGTGACAAGGCAGAGTGTGAAACAGACCATGCATATTGGGTGTGTACAATGATTCCTGGAAGCATTGTACATAAAACCCATGGGACTGAACTGACAAATAGTCTTTGCAAACAT